CCCTATTCTAAAATCAGTGTCAAGCATTTAGTGTAAAGATTAATTCAATTTCTTCTGGAGAAGAGGACTGTAGAATTTTGTTCTACAAAGTTGGCTAGGAGATAACTTTGATAAGGATGGGTGAAGAAGAAGGTCTTACGCTTGGCAATGCAGCAGCTGGCTTTTTCCACTCTGAAAACTGAGTATGTCACTGCCTTGATAGCTCTAGCTTCTAATTCCCTGGGAATTCTCTTTCAACTTTGTGAAAGGCTAAAGTTCCCCCAAAGGTCTCTGACTTTCTTTCACTGTAGCTATTGAAGTGTGGGATAATTGGCAGGGGGTACTTTTTCCAAGTACTTGGTTCTTTTTCATGTTTGATAAATATTATTAAAACACTTATTTCTGCTCATTTCCCTTAGCTGTTAGGAGGCGTTTAGATACCTGTTCTTCAGAAGCTGTGTAGTTTTGACACAGCCTACAAATGCTAGCTCTTCACTGATATAATGCAGGTAATTGCTGTGTTCAGCACCTAACATTTGACAGCACAAAACCCATAAATTAAGAAATGATACTTTAGAAAGCTGTAATTTTAAACAAGAGCTCCAGAGTTACTTATGCTATCCAAGGTGATTTCTCAGTAATTTCCCGCTGCAGCTGCTTGTGGATGATCTTGTTTTCTTTAAAATCCTATTTCAGAGGGTATTTCTGCTAATTTTCTTCTCAAAGCATGTAACTGAAAGTGTGTTCTAAGCTCACGTTGCTCCACTGCCTTCCTGTGACAAGCTTTTTGTACTGAATTGTACCATGCTTAGCTGCATTTTTCTTCATGCAGTTGTTCTAAAATGCTTTAGAATCCATGCAAAACAGAAAGTGAAAGAGTTAATGTGACCCTGTTGTATTGTGTAGCTGCAAAAAGTGGGCTAATTTGTCTGCGTATATGACAAGCTGGTGTGGGGAGGGGACATAGCACCCTAATATTAGATAAGGGATGAATGGACTCCAGTTAGGCTGTGAACATCTTTGACAGTGAGAATGATTGTTGTTGTTGTTTTTTAACTTAGGAAAAAGAAAAGCAGCTTAAAGAATCCAGAGCTGAGAGTTTTGTGAAAAGAGCATAATTAACAGCAGCATTCACATGGGATGGTGGGTAGGCAGGACTGCATTTAAGGTCAGGAAGAATAATGTTGCAATGACTAAGGCACAATATAAGAACTCAGGTAAAAAATCTACCTGTGTGTATGGATTTTAGAGCTGATACGCAAAAAGAGTCTTTAGATGTAATCAAGCTACATCTGGGAGAGAACAGAATTAAAGATGACAACTATTTTCTGTATGTGATGAGTAGTTTGGGGATGGCTCCCTAGCGATGTCAAACAGACATTAAAAAGCATGAAAAAGAAAGAAATGCTATGCCTGGTAAAGTAGCAAATTTTGCTAGTAACAGAATACAGGGTTAAACCTTTAAACTTGAGAGGTCATGAGGGGACCACTAATTGTTATTTCACTTTATGTCATAAAAGCCAATGATGTTCAGCTTGTCTACAGTAATAAATGACAACTGAAAAATACCTCAAAACGTGAGTGTGTATATGTGTGTATATACATGTATATGTACACTGTATATGTTTGTGTATGTACGTATATACACATATACATATATATAACATATATATGTGAGGAGAGAGACAAAAACATGTGAATGAAAAGCAAACTTACATAGGTGGAAAAATTGAGAAGCTTTTAAGCATAGAGCTTCTTAATCTGCTGAAGGGCTTCCGTACCCAAAAACTTTCTTTCCCACTCTGTAACTTGGTCTAATAAAAAAATACTCCTTCTCTTTTAGACCATGTGGATTCCTAGATAATCTTGGCTGTGACAGTGTTGCTTCCACAACATGTATTTGATCAAAATAGCAAGCAGCAGGGAACCCAGATTAATCCATTTTGATTTACATTTACCTAATGGACGATACTCCTCTCTCCACTAAAATAGACGACCACACTACATGGTCTAATTACATAAGGCTATTTTCCTTTATGCTGCCAACTTTTTTTTTTTTCATGTAACCAAATGTGGCAAGAATTTGAGAAAAGAGTAGTTCTCCAGTGGTACAGAACTGGCATGGAGACCTTTTGTGAGCTTTTACAACTATTAGAATATAAGACTAAACTAAAATCTTTTGGGAATGGTTGACCTTTCTTCTCTGTCAGCTTATGTTCAGTTTAAACCTAAACCTTATCTGTCCTTTTCCCAGTCTTGTACCTCCTCTTTCTTTGCCTGCCTGCCCCTTGCCCTTCCATGGAACTGAGAGGTGCTGCATCCCTATAAAATATTTCTCTTCCATTTTTTTCCCTTTCTGGAGAAATTTGTACTCTCTGTTAAGAAAGCAGACAGGGAAGATGAACAGGTTTGCTCTGTAGTGTGCAAGTCTGAAGAAAGATGGTAAATATTTGGGTCAGGCATTGGGATAAATTTAAGAAAATTGAGACATTGACTGGGTTGATGCCGTTGCATTGGAGAGATCAAAAGTGTAGCTGTGCCCTTGAGAAAAGGAGAATTGTATTGTGCCCCGGGCTTCTGAAACAGAACTTAAGGCAGAGGCGTTATTGCTGCAGTTCTCTTCATCTTTATCGTTTTGTAATAAGTTAGTTCAGCAAATTGCTTAGAAATTCTTCCTTCTGCTACTTTGTGCTTATAAAAAAAGTAAGTGCTATTGCTCTCTGTGTTTTTGTGTGTGTGTGTGCACATGTGTGTAAGCCCAAAACTAAAAAGGATGTGCAGTCCTTGCTATTGTATAGCTATTTTCCATTATTATCGGTGTCTCAAAGGTTTTTTCTGTTTGACTGAAACTTGAAGCGTTTCCTTTTTCTGAAAGTTTCACTACATGTAGATTTTATGGTAGAAAAAAACAGTAGTAGGAAGAGCAGAGGGGAATTCTGCCTTCTTTCCTGCCTTCCACTAACCCCCAGCCCAAAGCCATGCTCTTTCATGGCATTTCCTTCCAATGTGTGTGAGCCTGTGTGCGTGAAGGGTGGCACGGGCATGATGTCACTGATCACATCTTCTTCGAAAGACCTGTTCTGCCACAGTTCAGCAAGTAGCAGTCTGGACCGAGATTGTTGCTTTCTTTTTTCTTCCAACTTAAACACCTATGTCATTCCATTTACTGGTTAGGTTGTGAGAATATGAAGAGTATGAAACGTGCTACTAATGGGATAAGTAAAATCAAGGCTGCCTATGTAACCTTGGTTCTTCCTTGTTGAATGTATGCCTTGCACAGCCACGTTTCTATCTCAAGTACATAGATGTTCAGTGTGAACACCTGTGTAATTGAAAATGAAACTCTCCAGAGTATTTAGTTACATGACATTTTTTCCTCCCAAGGGATCGCTGATAGATCAGTGTGCATGACAGATAGCATTCAGTGAATGAGGCAGCTGCTTAATTTTTGTCATTGCTGTTGACTGCACAGTCCCTCTGAAACCCTGCATGTTGCAAATTCTTCCATTAATAAAAACTGCGTACTTGAAAGTCTCACAAATCTGAATTAACGTACTGGGAAGTATTATACCTTTGAGGAATGGAAACTCAGCGACCTTCCCAAATCAGGAAAGAAACCTCTGTCAGAAACAAGCTTCATCAGTTCCAGCTGGGACTTAAAAGTAGTCTAGACCAGTTTATTCACTTCAAATCTGACCTTTTAATCTCCAGTGTGGCTTGAATTGGTTCAGCCAGGCCATCTCCTGCCACTAGGATTCTCTACACAAACTAATTTCACATGCTTTGTAGACTGTGAAAAGAGTAAGGCAGGAATCCTGAAGAGGCAAACTGTATCTGATCGTGTAATCTGATTGTGTTAATCCTGTACATCACTCAGACTTAACTAGAAGTTACTGCTAACAGTGCCTATTTTTTTTTGTGTGTGTGTGCATCTTGACAAAAGGACTTCTGTGGAGGTAGGACTATAACAAACAACAACTGTATGGTTTAAGAAGTTCATTATTTTATTTTAATTTTTCAAATAAGACTGTAGTAGTCTTATTTCCAAAATTACATGGGTTTATGTTGGCCAAGAAAACAATTTAGCAAACTGAAGGAGATACGGCACAGTTCCAATAAATATATTGTTAATGATTAACATTCTTGTTAAGAAATCTGTTTCTATAGTAACTGCTGCAGATTGTCACTTCCTCCAGCACTTGGAATAGTACCAAAGTGAATTTAACACTGATGCTGTGAGGGACAAATCCTATGAGAGCTGCAATAGATCACTGCTAGCAGTATGCTTTATTTGGTATGGAGATGTATGAACGACACAGTTCAGTAACCATAGATGGTGTTTAAGAACTATATCTTTCTACCCGTTATTCTTAATGCTCTGTGTGCATTTGGTTTTTTTCCTTCTATATAAAGACTAGTCCTCGTCTGAATCTTATAAGAAGGGCACATAAAATACATAGGTATGCCCAAGTTTTTAAGTTTAAACGTGTGTGTGTGTATATGCTACTAGTTTTTAAATGTCTGTGAAGAGATTCGCCACAAATGATTTTTCACTAATGAAGAGGGAGTCAACATGGGGCGAATGTGTATGGCTCAAGCTTTAAAACAAAGCCCAGGTGAGTTTTAAAGGGTGTGTTTGTCTTAGCTTGTACTAGCCCTGTGTTTCATTTCTGAAACATAGTGCAGGGAGATTTTTCTTCTGGTTATAGAAGTGTGTCGTATCTTCAGATGAAGTGTGTGATTGCAGTGGCTCTGTATTCTGTTTCAGTGTGTGTTTGCATCTGTGTTTGTTTGTCTTTTGAGTTGAGACTGCACTGAGCAAACTCATGATCGAGTGAAGGCTGAAACTTTTTTAAGGAGGGGGGAAAAGGCTTCAGAGGAAATGTATCTTCTTTTTAGCAACCACAGTTTGGGTGCTGGTATAATTCTGAGAGAAACAGATCTTTGGTTTTGCAAGTTTGTGGATATGCATGCACTTGGAGATGTTACAGAAACTTCCTTCTTGCTTTATTTCTTTCCAGATGGATGAGATAAAAGGCAAAGACAGAGTGATTCTGGCTCTGGAGAAAGACCTTGGTGTCCAGGCAGGCCATACACAGAAACTGCTCCTTCAGAAAGAAGCTCTGGATGAACAGCTTGTCCAAGTGAAGGAGGCAGAACGATATCACAGTAGTCCAAAAAGAGAGCTTCCTGCAGGAGTGGGGGATATCACCGAACTGATGGGAAGCCCGGTAAGAAAACTGTGTTTTCTTCAAATGTTCAACACAGGGTAATCGCTGCCTGGGTGTTCACATTGGTTTTGTGGTTACTTTTAAAATATTGGAAGGACTAATTAATGGTAAATGGCCATGCACTGCACTGTGCAGTCTCGTTATGATTCAGAAACTCCTTGGACCTCTTGAATTTCAAAGAATGTTGAAGAATATGTGGATATAGAACTTTTAGAATTTACATTGTGAGCTTCGGCTCTGCACCCCATTATTTTCTTAGCTATTAATTTCATACCTTTAGGAATTATTTTAACCAATGGCAAATAGATACTATACTTTTTAAAAACTGAGCCGTGTGATTTTAATCTGTGTCCTATGCACTAGAATTGTTTTATCTGATAGTAAGAAATCAGGTGAGAAATAACCAATATCACGTGAAATATTATTTATCTAGATGCTTTTTTTCAACTGTTAAGCCTTTACATACATTTCACAAGTAAACACTTTTCATGTAATGTATCATGTAGCATTTCCACAGGATGTTATTGTTTAGTGTTTCAGTTAATTAAAATAAGCTTTCCAGACACTGATGTAAAGAGTCTTATTTTAAATGTACACAATCCACTTGCTAAACAATGATGTTAAATTTATGGTGAGTAAATTTTTTTTAAAGGCATTTAATATTTCTATATGTTTTTGATGTAAAGGAGCAGCATTTGGATGAACGAGATGTGCGGAGATTTCAGTTAAAAATTGCTGAACTGAATGCTGTAATAAGGAAGCTGGAAGACAGAAATACTCTGTTAGCAGATGAAAGAAATGAACTGGTAAATTAATTAGTATTAACACAGATGGTGACTGGGAGGGCATCTTTATGGTAAAAGATTTAACGTTGGAAACTCAGTGTTATAAATAATTTACAAATTAGTCGTGGTTGGCCTCAGTCAGTTGTATCTAAATATAACAGACCCTTCTGTAGAAATTCACCTTGTGACTGTAAAGGACATGGATGGAATCCCTCTTGTTCCAGAAAAGTAAAACTGTAATTTTTTGGGGGGGTCATCGTAGTAAAATTGACTGGTAGCTTGCCTGTGGCACTGTATAATGATGTTGTGTAAAACATGTATAATCTATGCAGTTAAATTACTGTATTAATCTTTTTGAAATTTGCCATTGGTTTTGTGTCATGCTTATGCTAGCTAGGAGTTAAAAAAGCTTTTCTGTGATGGACGTGAAAAATCTGCCATTTCTCAAGGGAAATCTCTTAAGTAGGTGAAATTGTCCTAGGAGAGTGATAGTAACTTACAAAAGAGAGGATCTGACAAGAATTTTAAGAATGAATTTTCTTAGCCTGCATAGCTACTTAATTGCTTGTGCTGAGGTTAGTGGTAAAACTCCCATTGACTGCAATGGGCGGTGAGTTTTAATAACTTTTACACGTCCTCTTGTAATGCCCTATTTCTAATGGCAGAAGTAAAGATTTTTCATTCTAATCAGATAGAAATTTTCCCTCATGCAACGTATGTATCTGATTCTAAAATAATGCTATTATGTATGGTGGGGGCAGAAGGGGAGGGCACGCCCATGTGTCAATCCTGTAGATGAGTGAAGCATTGACATCTTCCTCCTAGCTTTGTCAGACCTATGAAGGCTTTGCTTTATGATAAAAGGACTTAATTTATTTATGAGACCTCGATAATTATCGGAAGAGATAATTTTTAAAACTTTCTTGTCCAACATCTTAGCTGAATCTAGATTAGTGAAGTCAATTGAACAATGCTAGACTAACGTTGCATTAATTGAGAACATGATTGTGTCTTTTTCTTTAAACTTTTCTTCTTTAAATAGCTGTGTAGTCTAAACTGCCCTTTCATATGACAAAATTGATTCCTCATTAACACTTTAAGTTTCTTGGTGTAAGAAGAATATGCGTTTTAGCTTGGGTACAGTTTGCCATTTTTCCTACTTTGCCTAGGTGCTGAGCGTTTTGTTGGTTCCCTCCCTCCCCCCCCACTTTTACTGCTACAGTTGCTTTTCTCTGCTCTATACTCTCAAGAACATCTTGCCTTTTTCAAGATTGCATTATATAAAGACAAGATAATTCAGCCTCCTAATCGTTTCTGCAGACAAAGTCGTTCAAAACATCCTTGAAGAATGATGAAGTACTGGAACGTGTATCCTTCAGTGTCCCTCTAGATGGAGGGCATGTATGACTCAGTCAAGTGCTCTTCTTGATACCTAGAGGCATAAGTAGTATATTTTGGAAAACATATGGAGAAGGTTTTGTCATATTGTGAGACAATATTAATAAAACCAGTAATAACAGTAAGTTTGTATGATTAAACACTGTGAAAAATAGTTTTCTTCTGAGAATGAAACAGAAAACCAACTACTCAGTGAAATTATCTCAGGAGAAACATTATCTTTTTCTCATTTCCAGTTAAAACTCAGTAAATTGAAAAATCCTTTGATAAGATTTTTTTAGAAACAAAACAGTTCAGGGATTAATGAAATAAAAAGAGTGAAATATTGAATACACACAAATGCAAGAAAGGGCAGTAATTTGCTTCACATAATTGTCTAAGATCATAAAACCACAGGAACAACATTGAGCAGCTTGACAATGTCAGCAGAATGCTGAGATTGAATCTGTGCCCTCTGGCTGACTTTCTCATTGCTCTAATTACACATTAGGTATAGGATTTTTAAAGTAGAGCAAGGAAGAGTTTACTTATACTAAGGGGTAGTGAAAAGGAGTACCCTAGAGACCGAGTTGCTCGCAAGAAGCTTATATACAATGAGATTAGTTTATTAAGAAATCACTTTTATGGATCATTGCCTAAGTGTTTTCCAAGAGCAAAATCCAGTGACCATATCTAGTGATTTTGTAGACTGTACAAAAATGCTGTTTCTTTTTTGTTTGGACTCCTGTAGTTCTTAGTTCAGCAATAGTCTATATCAGATGCCACTTAACAAAAGAACTAAACTTTCTGAATGAAGGAAGAAGGCAAGGGAAAACACACAGATTTCTTCTTTCCTACAAGTATTAATTAAAGCACAGCTAACTTTGTTCCTTTGCCATTTGCAGCTGAAACGTTCTCGAGAGACAGAAAGTCAGCTGAAGCCTTTGGTAGAAAAAAATAAGAGAATGAGCAAAAAAAATGATGATATGTTGCAATGTATCCAGAGAATGGAAGAGAAAATAAAAAATCTATCAAGGGAAAATGTAGAATTGGTAAGTAATCAGCTCTGACATCATGGTATAAGAACACATTGCACACGGTTACTTTTCAGGTGGAAGTGCTTGTGAGGCTTTTACTCTAATACAGACGTTTCAAAGTCTTAAATTCAACCAATGCAACTGAATATTCATACTCTAAATTCAGAGTGGCATGTGCTTTGTGTTGTATCAATTCACGCTGATTAAGGGAAGGGATCACAGATAGATGTGTTTGGAGGCTATGTTTGGAGGTGTATGACTAAAAATCAGCTTTAATAAAAGCTGTGTTTATGATTGGAAGTCAGAACTGAATTTGAGTGCATGTGCCAAAGGCTCTACTATGTTAGATCATTGAGTTCACTTGTCTGCTAATTTTGTCCCAGACTATGTTCTTTGATTCAGTTTTAAATTATCTTATGTGAGAGATTAACACTGAGGCATACAAAATGTTTGGGGTTTTTTGTTGTTGAAAGAGGCCTTATGTTGTAGTGGAGTATGCACTGATGAGTCCAAAGAATTCTTGATTACTACATCACACATGAGAATTTTCCTCCTGTTCCAGCAAGACACTTTAAAACATTCTTTATGGTTGTGGTGTTGGTTTGGGGTTTTTTTTCAATTTTATTTTAATTTTTGCAGAAAGAGAAGTTATCTGCACAACCAGCACTGAAGAGGCACACGTCTTTGAATGATCTCAGCAGCACACGGGAGGAACAAGAAATTGAATTCCTTAGACTGCAAGTCAAAGAACAGCAGCATGTTATTGATGATCTCACAGTGGTAATGCTTATGACTGGTATACACACATGCATGCACACACATCTATAGGCAAGCTAAAGATTTGAGAGAATATTTTAACTCCAGTTGTAGTGATAAACAAATAGTTCTTTGGCATCAAAGGGTTCTTGTTATTTCTCAGGTAGTGAATGAATTTATTTGAAATGTATATGAATCACTGTGTTATAAAATATTTACCTATTATGAGCTGTTGTGAAAAGAAGTGCATCAGTCCATTCACCTTACTTACAAAATTGGCTGTCAACAACTGAGGAACTTGTAGGAAAGGACATGTTTCAAAACTTAATGACTGAAGCGTGTTGGATGTAGACCCTGGTGCAAACCCAACTACTCCCCTGATCTAGAAGTTCTCGTAAAATAAAGGAACATGTAGGATGGCATTCATTTCACCTAACTAAGCATTTCTGAGCTGGCCACACTAGCTGTCTTTGTACACAAATGGAGAGAAATACGTGTGATGCATCTAAACAAAGGTTTGGATGCATAGTTTAAGATTAGAATTGCACAGCTGCTACCCTGTCACTGTGAAGACCACTTAAGGTGATGCTCATACATGTTTGCACTGTTTGATCAAGAATTTTGAGTTGTGTTAGAGTTATCTAGTGCTATTTAGTGCAACGGATGATACACTCTTCTGGTGCTGGCAGAAATGACGAATCATCTCTGAGAGACCCCTCTAGAGCAGCATCTGGAACTCAGGCAGACTATTCTAGAGCATCTCAAATGGCACTACTGAATGCTACAAAATGATAAAATGAATTTAAGATCATTCTGTCTAAACAAAAAATTAAACAATTGGATACAATATTGAAAATAAAAATAGAAGATCCAAAAAGATAAAGCAAAAAGATGTGTTATTGCTCTGTCTGGAACATTGTCTCTATTCTTGGCAGTTCCTCTGAGATTTTGACCCAGGATTTCTCTCTGTAATCGGTGCCAAAGATTGGTGTCTGCATATGCATTCTCCAGTATCACAGTGTTACAAGCAGTAGGATGTTACTCAGATGCTATGATGTAGGATCTGATTCACAGAGCAATGCTGCTTTTCCTTCCAAATACAACTGTACAGGCAGGGACTGTGGCATGATATTAGATTCTCAGTACATGGCAGATATAACCTCACTTATATTTCAGTGTAAAGTGGGTATGAAAGGACTCTCTTTTACTGTCTCAGCCAGTAATCTGAGTAAATATATTGTATCTTGACTTTAGCCAACTAGTATTTACTTGTGCTTAGTGTGAAAGTAAAATAAACAAATATTTAAAAATATGGTTTCATTTCTGCGTTGTTTCCTATTTACAGATACTTTTTCACTGTCAGAAATAAGTTAACTAGGATACTACTTTGATTGGCAGTACAAACTAATTGACACTTTGCCTTCAATGTGAATGCAGTGGAACTCTGCAGTGCCCTTGTGCTTTTCAGCTATCTTTTCTGGCTCAAATCACACCCTACAGAATATAAATATATCATAATGATCAAGAATGACCCATATGTCACATACCTGATTAGTACAAAAGTCATCAGCTTACCTCCAGCTGAGACCAATATGATACACAGAAATAAGAATAGTCTTAGGCAATAGGGTTGTCTGAATTGATTAGTATTGTCATTTGCAGGGTGTCTTTGATGCTGTAGAAGCCATATAAACTTGAGTTCTCCCACAACAGTGGTTTTCTGGTCAGTTCTTAAAAGGAAAGCTGTTAAGATAAACTCAGATGATTGCAAAAGATACTAGTGATTCAGCAAATGGTGGTTTTGAATTGGCATTATTACTGTTCTGGTAGCTTGATGTATTATTAAGACAGTAAATTAAGCAGTCTTCTTACAAACGATTAGAAACTGGAAGGAGTAGGGGATTTTTGAAGTGTTTGTTTATTCTGCACTGAAGTGAGAGGAAAGGAAAGACAAGACAGAGTCAGAAGACTAGCCAGTTTCTCCAGCCGTTTGGACACCTGCTTGGGATGCAGGAGACCCAGGTTAAAGCTGGGACTGTGCTTTAACCAGGTGCCTGAGGAGGGAGCATTATTCTTCAACACTGTCTAAAATTCAACTTTGTGTTTTCAGCTTGAGCTTAATATATTAATTATTCTGCAGCTTGAAATACCTGCTCCATTCTACCTTGGCAGGCGTTACTTTTCCTTATTCTGAAACCCACATGTATTAAAAGTGCTATATAATTTGTTGTGCTTTTCTGAATTATTGCATGTTTTCCAAAACTTTGTTCCTGGAACAATGTGTTGATAAAGATGAATATTTTTATTGTGGTTTCTGCTGGGAACTTCCTATTTGTCCAGTTTCTGAACTGAATATAAAGCAAATAACTCTGAATAGAGTAATACCATGCAGTGAGCAATAACTGCTAGAGAAGCACTTGGAACTGCTATCGTTCTTTTAAAAAACAGATGTGCTGCAAACAAAGGTGCAGAGCTGAGGAAAGAATCAGGAAAAAGGCAAGGAGACAGATCACCTGCTTCCTATGCTGGTTTTTTGCTTGTTCTCTCCTTTGCATTTTTTGCCTTCTCTTTCTCTGCCTCTTGTTTGGAATTCAAGGCAATATTCTTCAGCTGGAATGTTCATAAACCCTGCATTTTTCCAGTTAACCTCCTCGTATTATGATATAGTAAATTATGATCTTGTTTCAAGGGCACAGTAGAAGAAAGACACTGACTAAGTTTACACAGACTAAGTGAGCCTTTGGATTTGAGACTTTTTCCCTACAAGGATAAGTCTTGTGTAACACTGTATCTGCATGTGCATGGTTGTATATTGGAGTATGCCTGGTATAATGACTTGTAATTCCTAAGGCTGGACTCATTTTTGGCTACCGACCTGCCACTTTCAGGATGGTTGAACGTTGGAGTGAAAATGTGAATTGTGTTTCCATAGTGAGCTTCTTGGTAAAAGAATCAAAAGAACTGTCAGAAATCTGAGCCGACTATTTAACAAAGCCTTTTCTTGCCAGTGTCCCATCGAATGTGTAAAGTATATGGCTGAAGGTTTGTTTGCTAAAGCTGCAGTACAGCATGATGTTATACCAACGTGGTGTTACGCAAAAGGGTAGAGACATTGTCTTTGAGTTAGCTTTACCATAGGCTTTAAGAAGATTTGAATGATATTTCTTTGTGCTAGACATATCTAAATACATATTTTAAAAGAAACCTATACCAAAATGTTCTCTTTCCTTCTAGGAAAGGGAACGATTATTACGGTCTAAAAAACAGAAGAGGAAAAGTCTGAAACCTCCAAAGGTGAGCAAACTCAGTTTTCCATGCATTTTGGTGGTTGTGAACAGTGATTGTTTCAAATATTACCTGAAATTAGAGCTCTACTTAAACTAATGGTAAAAATTTAATATAATTCTCCTGTTTTTTCTAGTGAGTGCTTACTAACTTTTTCTTACAATAATTCAGGAGCTGCAAGTTTTGTACTGCACACAAGTGGTGGTGTTTTGGTTTTTATTTTAAATAAACAATATAATTACACTTTTAGCCACTGTGGCCTAAATGTTCAAGTGGCTTGAGGTCTAAATGATGTAATGACTTCAAACAACTACCATTTCAAAGGAAAAATGCTCAGTCCTTTTTAAAGAAAATACACTCTTCAAACTACTCATACCAAATTACTGCTTAATCACAATTGAAAACTTTAACGCATGCTGGGGTTGTTACTGAAATGATTATAGAATCATAGAATCTTTGTGTTGGAAGGGACCTTTAAAGGTCATATAGTCCAACCCAATGAGCCGGGACATCTTCAACTAGATCAGGTTGCTCAGAGCCCTGTCCAACCTGACCTGGAATGTTTCCAGGGATGGGGCATCTACCACCTCTCTGGGCAACCTGGGCCAGGGTTTCACCACCCTCATTGTAAAAAAACTTCTTCCTTAGATCTGGTCTAAGTCTACCCTCTTTTAGTTTAAGACCATTACCCCCTGTCCTATCTGAACAGGCCCTGCTAAAAGGTCTGTCCCCATCTTTCTTATAAACCCCCTTTAAGTACTGGAAGGCTGCAATAAGGTCTCCCTGGAGCCTTCTCTTCTCCAGGCTGAACAACCCCAAATCTCTCAGCCTGTCCTCACAGCAGAGCTGTTCCACCCCTCTGATCAGTTTTGTGGCCTCCTCTGCATCCTCTCCAACAGGTCCATGTCTTTCCTGTGCTGAGGGCTCTAGAGCTGGATGCAGCACTGCAGGGGGGTCTCAGCGGAGCAGAGGGTCAGAATCCCTTCCCTCGACCTGCTGGCCACGCTTCTTTTGATGCAGGCCAGGATACGGTTGGCCTTCTGGGCTGCGAGCACACATGGCCGGCTCATGTCCAGCTTTTCATCCACCAGTACCCCCAAGTGCTTCTCAGCAGGGCTGCTTTCAATCCCTTCATCCTGCAGCCTGTACCGATGCCGGTGGTTGCCCTGACCCAGGTGCAGGACCCTGCACTTGGCCTTGTTGAACCTCATGACGTTCACACGGTTCCATTCGTCGATCTTGTCCAGGTCCCTCTAGATGGCATCCCGTCCCTCAGATGTGCCAACTGCACCACTCAGCTTGTTATCTGCAAACTTGCTGAGGGTACACTCGATCCCACTGTCTATGTCATTGATCACAGAATCATTAAGGTTAGAAAAGACCTTTAAGATCAAGTCAACCATCAACCTAACATTATCATGCCCACTAAACTATATTCGAAAGTGAAAGATAAAGATTTTATTAAAGAGTACCGGTCCCAGTACAGACCTGAGGGAACACCGCTCAACACCGATCTTCACCTGGACATTGAGTCATGGACCACTACCCTTTGGATGTGACCATCCTACCAATTCCTCATCCACTGAACAGTCCACCCATCAAATCCATTTCTCTCCAATTTAGAGATGTTGTGGTGGACTGTGTCAAAGGCCTTACAGAAGTCCAGATAGACAACATCCATAGCTCTTCCCTTGATGATGCCCCATCCCTGGAAACATTCAAGGTCAGGTTGGACAGGGCTCTGAGCAACCTGCTCTAGTTGAAGACGTCCCTGCTTGTCGCAGGGGGGTTGGACTAGATGAACTTTAAAGGTCCCTTGCAACCCAAACTATTCTATGATTCTATGATATTTCTGCATGTGATATATAAATAGTAAGAAGATTCTAACTATTTTTCTTAACTATTTTGCTCTAGAATGCAAAGTACAAGAGAAACATATAGTTTGTGCTAACAGAAAAGTTTTGCTTCAGAGTGTACCTTCAGTATTTATTGTAATGTGATTAAAGTAATTATTTTTGCTGAAAAATGGTTTTTGTGAAGTCGAACATTAGTGGCCTGGAGCATGTGAGGGCAGTAGAATGAGGTCAGAGGGAAGAAATGGAAGGAAAGAGAAAAAAAAAGATCTGATTATCATCTATATGGGAGCTTAAGATATGTTCTGTCATAAATGGATGCTTGTAGTCAGTGTGTTTTGCATAGTATATTCCTGGTAACTTCCAGGTGGTGCTTTTTTATTTCTCTGTATTCTGTAATATCTGTATTCTGAAGGATTTGTCCTTTGGGATTCTCTGGTTCAGTGGTAATTTCTTCAGATCATGCTTTGAATAATGATGTATCTTTTACATCTGAAGAAAGAAACTAATTCAGAAGTAACAATGAATCTTCCATACATTTTTCTGTTACTTCATGGAAGGCTGATCGGCACCAAATATCTTTACTGTAATCTTGAACCATTCTTTCCTGGTGTAGCATACCTGGAAGTTTGTGTGTTGAGAGTGAGTTTAAAAACAGGACATAAAATTAAATATATATCTGTAATTAACACTGTAATTTTTATAGTCCTCTCTAATTATTAGCCCTTATCAGATTTTAAATTAATTCTGTATGATCTTTTGCTGAATTTTAAAGTTCCTAATGAAACAAAACTAGTTAATTATTTAGGAGTTGATAACTAGTGATGCTAATTTCTGTAGGCTGAAAACTGCCGTAGTCATTCAATTATGTCTTAAATGTTCTGTGTTAATAGAACTTCAGCTGACCTAGAGTCTGTACCCTTTCGTTTTACCTATTTTCTCTTGAGCAAGCTGCTGCTTTTGTGGTATCTTCTTTTCCTTACTGACCAAAGCAGGAGTTAAACAACATAAGGCTTGGAGAAAATGTGCATGATACCATTAAAAAATCTGTGGCAGTTCTATTCCTCATGTGGTAGGAGTACTATAACTGGGGGACTTCTGCAGAGATTACTGCAGGAATTGTGTGTATATGAGCAGCGGAGTTAGTAGAGGTTTGCTTCTTATTTATGATATGATAAATACGCCAGAAAGAACAAATTAATCAGTAGCAGACGTAACTCCCACTAGTTATTCATCCCCTGTCCTTTAGCTCTTCGGTGCCCATATGGAATTGACCATTTGAAATTTTATTTGATGCTATCTCCTCAATAGAAAAGCAGGAATATAAACCAAAAACAACTGAAAAGAGAAAGTTGTGAGAGAAGAGTGAATGGGATTATGTATACTCTACTAGTCATACTATATATAATTTTATATATATATAGTTTCTAAATGAGCTAATGCATTGAGGAGGGAAAGAAGTCATCAGTAATATATTTATTAGTGTCCTATTACCTGGCATCATATAAACCTGGAGGCTATTCACATGTGTATGCGGTGTTGACTCGGAGTTTAAACACTGTTGATGTTAGCTTCTAAAAATTCAATCCTAGCATACAGGCTGGCTTCCTTCCAGGTCACCTGTGTGGTCCTTTGAGGATCGAAATCCTCGAAGGAAGCTATGTTTCCCACAATTTTCCAGCAGTTTTTTATTTAAACAATCTGTGTAGAATGGGTGCTTACTCAGATGAGCTGTTGGGATTGTACCATCTTCATCCTCTCTTGTCTTTACAGCCTGTGTCAGGAATTCAGATAAAAATGGTAGAATTCATCTCCTTCATTAATTAACGGAGGAGAGATATAGACATCTCACTCTGGACAAAATGGTAACATTAAGTGGTGATTGTTCTCCTCTGGAAGTAGGATCTAAATAGGCCATAGGAATTTTGTCCTAAAACTGCCTATTTCTCCCCATGGACGAGAAAGGCAGTCTAAGATGAGTTGCTTTATGTATAGACATGTACAGTGCAAGTGTGTTTCTGTCTATGACCTGTGCAAGATTTTTCTATCATACAGATGATAACCTAATATGTCCTAACCAACCACTCAGAAGGAGAAATTACTGATGTAAATCTTTGGCTTTGCATTTCTAAGATTGGTTAGATGTAAAATCAGCATTAAAACAGTGAATTGTCAAGTTTGGCTGTTGGAGTTGGATCTATTTCCAGCTGTGTCCCACTTCCCTTGACAAAGTGAAAAAGGAAATAACTGATGAGAATTAGGTTTCACGCGTGTGGTCAGATAAGCTCAGACTAGAAATATAGAAAGGTTCCTTTTTTGTTTCTAATAAACAGGAACTTGGTGCACAGGGTGAATACTTACACATGTCTACAGCTTCTCCTAAACAGGTACTTTTGCACTCCAGATTCCTGAATTTTCGAGGTACTCTGGACAGTGTCTGTGTTTGTTTTCTAATATGAGTATTTTCCTGACAGTGATTCCAGTTAGCTGGAGCAGAATCCATGGCGTGCCTTTCTCCATCTTTAAAACAGCTTGTGTGAATGATCTCTCAGGCTGGTTCAGTAGCCGTTATAGCCCGACTGGGTCTAAACAACATCAGTTCAGCTGAGAAGCTTTGGAAAACACCAAGGATTTTTTTTTTTTTTTTTTTTTTTAATTAGGTGTGTCTGTTATTTCTGGAGCTCTGTAGGTGCACTAGGTTACTGTTGCTAGTGTAGCTTTGAGCACTCTTCTAATTACCAAGGGGCATAGGAGTCCGTAGAACAGTGCTGGTAACCTGCAGCTCAGGTTTTCCGCTCAGGTTTCCAGCGGAAAGGAGCAGCATAGTGGGATGGGGCTTTGTAACCCCTGTGGCTGCAAGGCGTTTCGAGGAGTAATATGATGACTCGTAGGATAGTTTTCTCTGAACTGAAGCAGCCGAACCTGATAGAGCTTTTTGTTTTGTTTTGTGTGTGTTTGTTGTTTTGCATTAACGTCCCATTGGACTTGTTAGGAAGATGTATCAGAGGTGAATCTTCTTTTGCTGTCTAAAGGATGCTTTTTTCCCAGGTGTTTTTTGCTTCTTTTCCCCTCTTCCCTCCCCAATTTTGGTAGTGAAATAACCAAGAAACTTCAGAAACAGTATTTTGGGGGATTTGTTTATTTTTGACACAAATAATGGTGTAACAGTGATTCCATGACTGATGGGAGTCATGCATTTTAAAATAAGGCATAATTGGCTGGTTTGTTTGGAAACTGCAGGACTCTACGGATTTATTTCTTTGTTTAAACTTTAACACATATACTGTATTCGTGATAGTGGAAAGCCTGCACACTGGTGTGATGGAGTTCATATTTCTTGTTTTATATTTTTCTTTTTTTATCTGCCTCTGTGCTTTGGTATGCCTATATTTTTCTGGCTGCCAAGAAATGACATATAAGCATGAAGGTAAGATGTTACTGATTAGCTCATCTGATTGCATTATGAGGAAATTCGTCTTGGATCATTTTCATCATGTTAGATTAAGTACTTGAAAATGAGATATTTAAATGTAAAGTGAAACTACTTTAGCAACAGTGAAATCAGATTATTTATGTGTAAGTATATCTAATCCAAGCCATTAAAAATATGAGGGTATATTGAAATTTGCATATAATATAGTCTATATGTCACTATTGATTTATAACATGCTAAACTTCCATATTTACTGAGCACTATACTTCAGTAGAAGCATTAATACTTGAGTTATAAAGACCTAATGCATAATTTTACTTTTAAAATTATGTGAAAACATTGATATAAATCCACGTGAAAAATTGTTGTTATTAAATGCATGGTGGTAGTCAGTGGAAATTAGAATTTAAATCAGAATTTTTCAGCAATTTACATGACTACTTTCTCAGTTATGAAGTTATGATTTAGAAGTAACAAAAGTACAAATCAATATAAAAGAATTTTTAAGTATTTAATTGAGAATATTCCCATTTTTAACAAAAGCTTGAATGAAACTTGAATGAAAATAGTGTATAGTTAAAAAAAATGCAGTAGGTATTGTACAGATTTGTATATACTTTTCCAAAACCATTGTGATTCAGCTTTTGAGCTATATGTGGAATCTTTCTTGGAAGATTTATACCATTTATTTATTTATTATTTATTACAGTCTTTATCAACAAACTTTGTACCAATCAGATGTCTTTTTTTGCTTCTTTTTTTTTAAGAAGAGCTTTCTACAGCTCTTCTCTTATCAGTTAATTTGTTCTGGTTTTGCTGTGAATTGCTGTGAATTGCTTCTTGTAGCTAGTTGCTTCAGGTACTGGAAGATCAACAATAAAACTAGCTATTTTGTAATTATGTCATGAAGCAATTCATATATTTGCAGTTTTTATACAGTGGTTAAATACCTTATCTCCATTTCTATGGAAAGTATCTGCTCCATGAAATGTTAAATGTACAGCTTCTCTAAAGAGGAAGGAGTCATTAAAAGTGAATACATGGTTCTCTCATAACTCGAAATGTTGTAGGCAGTCTGTATGGCATTTAACAGTTTTTGAGTTTTAACTCTTCTTGAAGTATTGAGGACTTTTAGTGTGATGGGAAATAATAATTTTCTTGCATAATTCCCTCCCATGTAATAATAAAGTGATTTATTTATTAACATATGCAAATTATTTCCCCCTAGTTTTACTACTAGTGAAATGCTTAAATACAGCTAGTATCTTTTGTCAAAATAATGGCATTTCTTTAAGTGTGTTCTTGAACCTTTATGCATTTATGTAAAGTCAAACCCACTGTTGTTTTACTGTTGTTTTTTTCACTCATTGAAACAGTGGGTGTGGGTGTGTGCATGCAGGGTTAAAGGAAGATACATACTTAAGCTGAGTTATCTACAAAAGCGGCTGTAGTCTGAGGTATAGCAAAAAGCCCCAGAGGTATGACAAGTCTTGTCAGTTTTAACTAAGCTGCTGCTGATCTTCATGGTACTGTGTTCTCTCTGCCATATATATGAGATAATAAATTGGAGTTTTGTTCTCCATCTTTCAGAAGTCCCTTCTAGCAGCCTTTTCAAAGTCAAGACTTGACTCTTTACTTTGTCAGGCCACAAGCCTGTACTTCATTGCGGGTTTTGGTCGAGCTTTGCTCAAGTGCGTTTGTCATTTTTTGATGCCAGGCACCCTTGAAGCAGGAGGCATGAGCAGGGTCAGCTGTTCTTAACTCCTCTGAGTTGCTTGTCCTTGGCTAGGTTCCTCCAAAGCACGGGCTAGTTGTTCTGAGCCCCATCCACAGACAAGCTGGTATGGGCTGAAGAGCATGCTATAAAAATATCGGCGTAAGAGTCTGCATGCAGCTTTGTTTTGGGTTTACATTCAGCATCTTTGAGTAAAAAGTATCCACGCCGCAAAACAAGGATGCGGTTTTCATGAAAGTCTCTTGGTTTTTGTTTACCTGCCATCACCATCTCTACCTCCATATAATCTACCTTCATCCTTTTGGAACTGTATCTGCTCATTGGTTTGGAGTCAGAAAGTTCTTCCTGACCGGTTAACCTGGCAACCCAAATTATAAAGTTGTCTTCCTTACAACTTGAAGGCAGCACTATTTCTTTAGCCCTACTTTCAACTCCCAAGGTTTACTGGTAGTATCGCTGTTACATGATTGTAGGCTGCAGCGAGTGTTCAGTGTGGGATAGGTAGTGGGCCATCTCCCAAGGACTAATTACACCTCAGTTTTGGTGGTAAATCTTTGTACTTATGAGAGAGGAGTCTGAAATGTTTGTAATTCGAGTGTGAGAGAACACATTAGCTTTCTGGATAAGTCTTTATATTTCTAGAATAGAGCTTAAACCTGTTCCCCCTACTTTAAGTAGGACAGAACAGTGAACAAACTGGTGCAACCTGTGAATGCCGAAGGAAAGGATTAAATTATCCCAGGGAAATGTTTCTCTTAAGCACCTTAGACATAGCTCTCCCTGGTGAAAGGATCACAGTGCTTCCTAAACAACTGAGAGTAGTGTGACTTCACAGGGTTTTACTGCTATAACTGCGATCCTTTTCTTTTCTTGTGAATACACTAAATAGTGGCCAGGTAGCTTGCAAAAGGACGGTTGTTTCTCAAGATTGATCAGAAACTCTTTGCCTTCTCTGCTGCATCGCATTTATCTGTATGCATAAGGGTAAGCACAGTCCATTTGGAAAAGATGTGGCTTTTTGGGTTGAGTTTGGGGTTTGTTTTTTTTTAAGTGCACAACATCCTTTCAGAAGGAGATTTTAGTAGAACCAGTTAATTTAAAAATGCAGTCTGAAGGAAATTTTTAAATTATGATTTGACGGGCTCATCTTAAGTGACCACAATGAAGTGGTTCAGAACAGGGCTTGAAGCTGTCTTCGGTAATTTGAGCGGGATTAGCTGTACTGTGAGACAGTTACGGAATTTTTAGTTTAGGAGTGATGAGACTGTGACCTGGTGGACCATGGTAACCAGGGCTACAGACTGTAAATGGGGTGCATGGGATCATGCGTGCCGGCACCAAGTCACACCTATGAGCGTGGTTTTGTGGTACCACTTACATCAAGGCAGCGTATTTTGGCTGTTGATGAGAGCTGTGCTGAGCCCAAAGAATATATTAAGCATTATGGGGCTTTGCGAGAAAGTGAAGATGGGGCTTTGTAGACATACTGGAAGAATGTATAAAGTTAGAGAAGTCTAGAAGGCTGCAGGGAAAGGTAAATATTTGAAATTCATTATGAGATAGGTTATCATAGACAAAATAAAACCTTTCGGTATCTTGATTGAAATTAATAGTTCACAATTCTATTCCCTTAGCCAGTTTGGCTTTGCTGAGATGTAAGATGTCTGATGTTCTGGATGAGTAACAACTGATAATTTTTTTCATCCTTTAGGCATTTTTAATGAACAGGGCTATTATCTTCTCACTTGCAATCTGTACTGTTGGTGGTTGGTTTTTTTTAATTAAAAACCCAAACTGTGACATCGGGATCTGTCATCCAGCATTCAAGCAATGACACAAATATAGAGATGGATAGACAGATTTTTCTTCATCTTCTTAGAACCGCCTCTCTCCACTAGCCTCCCTGTCTAGGATGCTTCATAACCTGACTCCATTTTTCCAGCAACACCCTTTTTTAATTTTCTTAATTTTCCTCCTTCTCTAAATTTATGTTGGATTATTAGAACACTTCTATGGTATAAAGAGTTAGGCTTTCTATTGATTAGGAACAGTTAACTTCTGTTATTGTTATTTTGGAAGGAAAAATACTGGAAAAACTGGTTTTGTAGTTAAATGTTTAAGCAATTTTTTTTAATAGCTGAATTTCTATGGAAATTTGCTGCTTTCTGAGCATATGATAGGAAACTGGTGGAAAGTGGGCTCTTAAAATGGTGAAAGGATTATTGCAATTGTGATGTTTTATGTAAAAACAAAAAATCTGTCAGCAGGCATTTAATTGATTACACTGTGAAAAATTTTTAAAATCTGCATTGAAAGGTTGGTTTTCCCTAAGCATATGTTTTTTTGGTTAGTAATATTGGAGCAAACTTTTGAAGGAACTCAGTATTATGGTATTGAAAAAATAAATGGAAAGCAGCAATTTATACTTTTAAGTAGGATTTTGGCAAAATAGATAGAATAAATTAATCTCTTTTTTTTTCCTTTTTTTTCTTTTTTTAAAATTAGTGTGACTAATGAAATTTGTTCTACATTGTTCTTTGGAATATTTTTTCCCTGTTGGTTCCACATCTTATATGTTACATCATACTGGGTTACTTTCTTCTGAGTAGATGTTGCATTGCTCTACTGTGAATCTTGTAAGATCTGTATGATTTTGATAAATTAGCTTTTATACTTTTGCTAAAGCATCATTCTATTGGCAGTTACACAGTGCTATGTGCAGTTCAGTTCTTGGAGGTTCTTATGCAAATGATGGTGCAAAAGTGGCTCATTTAATCAGAGAACAAAGGTTTACAGTGGAACCATTTTTCTGCCTCAATACTAAAACAGTGGTCAGAGAAGACCTTGGCTACTGCTTACTGGGTCATTGGGGTTTTCCAGCTGTTTGACTAGTAACTAAGAAAAACTAACTTTTCAGAGGCATGTTGTGGAGACATTTTTTGGATTTGATGAAGAATCTGTTGATTCAGAAACGTCATCTGTGACTTCATATAACACAGATAAAACAGACAGGACACCAGCAACACCCGAAGAAGATTTGGAAGATGTAAGTACTAGCTGATTTGTTCTTAAATTCTATAAAAATTTATATAGACTACTGATGCAAACATTTTTTTCAGCTATGCTGCCACAGGAACTATGAAAGATTTGGCAGAGAATCGCTTTGTTTTTTTCAAGTCCAGTAACACATACACAGTCATTGCAATAGAATTAATACGGTAATATTCTGCCTGACAGATTTGGCAGATATTGGGCGAAGGAATAAAATTGTTTTTCTCAAACCCTTTCTTATTAGTCAAAAGACAATGAATAGGCATGTTGCTTTGCCAAAAGTCAATAGTTACTAGACAATAGTTTCCCTTTCAACCTTGTAATTTATTTGACTGTTTTGATACAACGAGGATTTTCTTCTGTGCATACAATACTCAGAGAGGTTTTTGCCATTCATTAGGACTTAAATGATGATAGGTAGTAGACACCCACTGACATGTTTTGTCTCAGCTCTGTAATATACAGTGCAGCTGGCCTACTTGAAAAGATTGCAGGGCTGAGGACAAAGCACGAATTAGATGCTCTTTTTTATCTTTCTTTCCTGTTCACTAACTTGTGCCTAATACTCCTCCATCACAAGAAGCTTCCTATTTTTCTAGCTTTAATATCAAATAATATATAATTCTCTTGAGCTTGAGATCCCGGAGCAGAAATTAATTAAAGGGAAGGATATTTCTTGCCCACAGCATTATAGGAAAGACCTTGAAAGTGTTGATGTCAGTTGCTCAAAATTCAAAGAAAATGAAGACATGAAAATATCTAATGTTAAAAAATAATTAATAAACCATCTTCTGGCTTTTCAAATATAACTTCTGTGTTAGTGTGCTTGTGCTGGTAAAATGCGTTACCCTGGCATTGTAGAGGAAAAGAGTAAGGAGGGAGCGATGGACTGCATGACAAACAGAACAAACCCCTTCTGAAGCCCCTGTGGCTCTGGAGTTGCTGAAGGCAGTGGTGCATGTTCCCTCTCATCTTTCCCCAGTCAGTTTTTTCCCATTTCTATACATTACTGCCTTACATAGTAACTTACGCTGTCCTGAAATTGTAAGGTAGATGCGGTTACTGATCTCTGCATTTCTGCATCATCATCAAATCATCCTTCCTTCCATTTCCACTTGTTTTAGTTTTTTAAACCTTTATTAAACTTTGAGATTCAGTATGAGTTGTGTTCCTCGTTCTGTTTGCCTACATAAACAAACCCATTATCATATATATTTATACAAACCCACTTTTTTTCCCTCTTCATTAAGAGCACGCCTAAAGAAGAAGCTGAACTAAGGTTCTGCCAGCTAACAAGAGAGTATCAAGCTTTGCAAAGAGCATATGCATTGCTTCAAGAACAAGTTGGTGGAACCCTGGATGCAGAGAGAGAAGCACGGGTAATTTTTTAACTGAAATTTCTTTTAACTCTGAAATAATTGAAAAAGCTGAAAAAACTTGGAACAGCAGGAGATACCTTTGCAGGTCAGTGAAATGCAAAGCGTAGTGTTCTTAAGGATTAGAGGATATTATCAGTAAGGTGACAGCTTAGATTCATCTGGTGCGATTAGAACAAAGAAACCATTATACTTTATTCTAGCATGCATAATCTATTAAAGGTTTCAGTAGTAAGACAGTGTTATTGAGAATGATAGCCCAGTTGAATCTGCAATTTGCATAGCAGCATGATGGATTTAAAATGAATTGGAGAATAGGTTGTTATAAGTACTTAGGCACTTGTATCATAGGTGTATATTAAAAATCTGATCCAAATCTGACAAAGGAGGTTTTTTTTTCAAGTGTTTTGTCAAATGTATGAAATCATAATTAGTTTTTAAAAACCTCGGTTTGAGACTATTCTTCCACTAAAAAGTACATAGCTAACTGTTATCCCTATTAGGTTAGCATGTTCTATTGTTTACTCTCTCTGAAATAAATGTTTTTTTTATTCTTACAGCAATCTCTGTACTATTTGAAGTATGAGAGAGTATGTATTCTGTTTCATTTACCCTTCTGCTGCCACTGTGTTTAACCATTTAGTGCAGAGATGAGGTCAGCAGAAGCCATGCTAATATCTTCCATTCTGTTTTCTCCAAACTGGGGAGGAGAGAAATCACCTAATGAGTTGGTGAGCTCTGACTTGGTCCCCAGATCTATTCACTGAACAGCAGTGGCATCAAAATAGGGCTGAGTTAACTAAAGGCAACATGTCTTCTACTTTGTCCCAACTCCTTGCAGATAGGGGCATGTCTAGAAATGTAGCGTATTTACAAGTCACTCTCTACTTGAATGACTGTTGTGATTGCTGACCAAAGAACATGTAACATCCAAATGGGCAAGCGATATCCATAGAGCTGGAAACTTCATCATCTTCACCTCATGTCCTTCATTCTGCATCAAGTCCAGCTTGAACCTGTAGATAACTGATGTCGTTGTGAGGCCACTCTCAATTATCTCTGAAGGGTCATGGCAATTGTGGAAGGTTCCTGAGGACTGTAAGAAAGCAAATGCCACTCTTGTCTTAAGAAAGGCAAGTAGAAGAATCTGGGGAACTGAAAGCTGGTCGTTCTCACCTTGGTCCCTGGGAAAGGGATGGAGCTAATAATCATGGAAACTGTTTCCAAATGTCTGAAAGACAAGAACGTGACTGGGAGTGATCAGTAGCAATTTACGAACGGGTAATCACACTTAACCAGTTTGATAGCCTTGGCAGATGAGTTGAGAGCAGTGGATGTTGTTTATCTTGACTTTAGTAAATCTTTTGACGCTGTCCCACGTAAGATTCTCTTAGACAAGCTGATGAATTACAAACTAGACAAGTGGACAGTGAGGTGGACTGAAAATTGTCTGAAATAGCCAACAAGGTTGTGATCAGTGGCAGACAGTTCAGCTGGAGGTATGTCACCAGTGGTGTATACCAGGGTTTGATACTGGGTCCCGTACTATTTAACCTCTTCCTTCATGACCTTGATAATTGAACAGAGTGCACCTGCAGCAAGTTTGCAGATGATACAAAATCGAGAGGAGTGGTTGATGCATGAGATGGTTGTGCTGCAATTCTGAGGAACCATTCAACTGCCTGAAGAAATGCATGAAGAGGAATCTCATTAAATCCAACAAAGGGAAGGAAAAGCTCTGCATGTGGGAAAGAATAACTCCAGGCACCAGACTTGGGGCTGGCTTGCTGGCAAGCAGTTATACACAAAAGGATGTGGGAGTGTCCTGGTGGACACCAAATTGCACATGAGCCAGCAATGTGCCCTTGCAGCAAAGAAGGCTAACAGCCTCCTGGACTGCATTAAGAAGGTGTGCAGCAGGTGATCCTTCCTCTCTACTCGTCTTTGATGAGGCCACATCTGGACTTCTAGGTCCATCTCTGGGCTCCACCAGTATAAGAAAAACATGGACGTATGGGACAGAGTCCAGCGAAGGGCCACAAAGATGATTAAGGGCTTGGAGAACCTGATGCACAAAGAGGGGCTGAGACTGTTCAGCCTGGATAAGAGGAGGCTCAGGGGTATCTTATCGATTTGTGTAAATACCTGATGGAGGGAGTAAAGAAGATAGAATGAGACTCTTCTCAGCAGGATCCAGCGAAAGGACAAGATGCAACAGGCACAAATTCAAATACCATTTAAACCTAAGGAAAATCCTTTTTCCTCTGAGGGCAGTCAAACATTGGAACAGGTTTCCCAGAGAGGTTGTGGAGTGTTCATCCCTGGAGATAGTCAGAAGCCCACTGGACAAGGTCTTGAGCAACCTGTTCTAGGTGCCACCCTGATTTGAGCATGGGAGTTGGACAGGTGATCCCTTCCAACCTCAATGAGACTGTGATTCTAAAAATTGTTTAAGCATTAAAAAAAATCCCCTAACCTACATCCCCCCACCAAAAAAAACCCCCGAACCCCAGAAATGGAGAAATGTGTTAAATATTGTGAATGATTACATATTACTGCCTTCATTGTATTGTGCCACTGCAACATGTTGCTAATAATGCAGAAAGACAAAGATTTTAATGGATTTAAAAATTACTGATGGGGATGGACTCAATTTATCCCAAAGCAGGAGCTGCCATTAGCGTAATGGTTTAGAACTGTTTAGAACAATCAATAAAATATTCACAAAATTCTATATTGCTAGATTGCTGATGGTTATTAGGCATACATGTGCGCTATTTCGTCTATGTCATTTTCTCTGGAAAGCATCTTAAAATCCACTTACTGAATATTCTCAGGTTTAGAAACAGTATGCTTGTGGGAACAGAACCTCTGTGTGTTAATAAGCAAAGCTTTCCAGTTAAAAGTTACAGAAGAATGTATACTGCTTGACATTATCTGGAGATATTTACAGCTAAAAATGTTGTCTATTATCCCCAGAGTCAGCACGTGGAAGATTCAGGGTTTACTTTAAAATGTGTCATGTTTTGTTTGGAGGCTTTTTTCCCCAAGATTCTTTGAAGTGCCTCTCAACCAACCTTAACTTTTTTTTTTTTTTCACCCTGTGAAATACAGTTCTTATAATAGTAGAATTATTGCTTTATGGCTTTATTTGTTAGAGTTCTCAGCATCTTACAAAAGTCTAGTCACATTTGACACTCTCTTTTTAAGTAGGACTCTTAGCCAAGGAAAGCAATAAGGACTTTGGACATCACTTCTCAAGCTAGAATTGGGGTGGAGAGCATAATTACATCTACTATTAAAGTTTCTGAGGCACTTATGTATTTGACAGTTATGAGAGACCATTATGTATTTCCTTTGCCTTCATGGGAAGGGGGACCCCGGTATGAATATTTCTGTAATAGCCTTTATTTAATAGCCCTAATTTAAAAAATTTGCAAACTGTCCCTGTAGTACACTTTGGAATTGTTGCTCTTTCTTGTGGCATTTTTGTCTCTTTTGTCACATCCGTGCAAATCCGTCTTTTGAGTGAGTCAGAAGGTAGCTTTTTGCATGATTGGTTTTGTAGGGCCCGACGTTCTGGTGGGATGAACATTTCCTAATACTTTTAGATGAGGCTTAAGATACACAACGAGGACCCGAAGATGCAGAAGGAAATCCCTGTAGGAAGTTTTAAACTGCTTGGGTGAAAGTGTACCTGAAAACGAGTGAGAACAGTACTTGCAGTAGCTCAGGGAGCCTCAGTGACGGAAGGTCTCCGCAGATATCCTTTGGTTTATATCCTTTTTGCTTAGTATGTATGATCCAGTCCCTTTTAGGGCATCACTGGACTTGGGGGTTAATACCTATGGTAGTGTAATAGTTAAAGTACTAATGACGTAGAATGGGGAAAACTGACTGGCATATGCTCTGTATGGGATATATAATTATTTTGGGTCAATATATTTACCTGTGGGCCTTTTTCAATGCTTATTGCAATTCTCTTTCTCTCTTGCCCCCTTTTTCCCAATTGCCTTGAATTAGCAAAGCTTATGAACAGCTTCTTAGAGATCTTTCAGTTCCTGACTCCCCGCCCTCACCCCGGGAGGAGCTTTGTGGCTGAATATGTGACAATAACATCTTTTTAGGCCAGGAAAGAAAAATGCTGTTCAACTGGTGGTTGTAAACATAAACACAAAAGCGATTATTTTAATGAAAAGCATTTAAAGCTGCCTGGACAACCCATAAATGGGTAGAAAGTATCTTTACTTCGATTCTGTGTGTAATTAAATCTACCTGGATGTGCATGCATATACACACACTTTTTGATACTTTTTTTTCCTCAGACTCGTGAACAACTGCAAGCTGATCTTCTCAGGTGTCAGGCAAAAATTGAGGACCTGGAGAAAGCCCTAATCGAGAAAGGACAGGTAAAAGGCTCTCTTAATGTCCTCTGCCACATCATTTTCTCCCTTGCATGCAGTGGTGCCCTTGCCATCTTCATTGCTTGCTGGCGTGCTGGTGTGACTGATGCAGCTTAATTGCTGGTCCAGCAATAGATGACTAAAACAAAGTATTTCGTAGGCTAAGAAAATGCCATTAAGGATTCATTTTCTAATACATAATACACTAAAGCATAATATCAAAGTAACCGCATGTACATGCATTGTAAATTCTGTTCCCGTTGTCATTTGGTGAAGGCCTTTCTCATCTTTTCCGTTTTGTTTATATTTGCTATAAATTACAATAAAATATTCTATATTTGTACTGGATAATATATTTGGTGTGTAGCATAGAAAAAAATCAAAAAACAAATCACTTCCACACATGCTTCAGCTACAGAAATGAACCCCTGAGTGTGTCTGGTTACAGGAAGCAGCTTGTGGTGTTACTCTCCTGGGCTTAAATTCTTGGAGGAGCCAACTGCTTTCAAATTCCCATACAATCCCACAGAGTAACATTAGGCCTTATGCTTCAGTATATCTTGTAAATACCTGACAAAGATGTAGCTACTGATGCATAGTTAGTAATGTCTAGGATCTTCAGGAAGGCTGATTAAGAGTTATCAGAGTGCATTTAAAAGATGTTCAGTTGCATAACTGCTAGAACGCCTCGAGAAAATGGGGGAGATGTTATTTTACATGCTCTTGTTTGAAATAACAATTTTAAGATTGCAGGTAGCATACAGTAATAAAATAAGATACAGCTATCTATAGATATAAATTTCAAAACCTAATGATCCTCTAGCATTGAATAAAAACGACCTGTGAATAACGCTGAGTTGATGACATTACTATTTTTATGGTTTATTCTTTGTAAAAAAAAAAAAAATTTCTGTAAGATTCTGTATAAATACGAATGGTTTGGGACCATATTGAAATTAAAGATAAAAATTGTTTATGCTAGCTTCCACACAGACTGCAATCTGCTCAGTAAATTCCATGTAACTAAAATATTACTAAAAATCGAGAGTATGTTATCAATCTAAAAATGATGGCTCACTGAGCTTTTGGAAGAATAAATGAAACTGCAGACCTCTCAAGGATCTACTGCTGACGTTTTAGTATGTTGATGATAAAGGTGTTGTGGACAAATTGCTGTGTAATTGGAAACATTAACAAAATAGTTGACTATTAACAGTGTAAAAAGTAAGTACTGTCTATGTAAACAAGATAAGTCAACATGGATACCCATGTAAGAAATTCTGTGATTTTACTTCCAGAATGGTATGTCAAAAGGTATGCCTGGAAATGAGAACTTAATTAGTTATTACTGTGAGATTCATAACCACATTTTCAACCTTGTACCTCTTCGTAATCCTGAGAAGGCCAACAGGGTCGTGACGAGGAGCAGTATGATATTGTCTCTAGTGGGCTAGTTTGTATACTGAGCATCAGCTTTCCACAGAAGTGGTGACAGTGTCTTCCTGGGACCTCCAGCACCTGCTCAGTTCTCCTGACCTGTTAGTTTTTACATTCCACAAAATAAATGATTGTGATGATAAACTCACTTCTTTGTGCACTATGTGATTTATTTTTTTTTAATGATTACTTTGTCATTTAGGTGGTCATGGTAGTGATGATGATTTAGCAATTCTTGTGAGATGTTCATTCAGAGAACCATTCCCTAAAGTTCTTTTGAAAAGGAAACAATGAATCAGAAGATCCTAGTGTATTAAACAGGAATTTCTAGTCTTACTTTGCAGCTTTAGGAAACAGAAGCAGTGAAGACCTTCACAATTTTCCTGAAGTCAAATTCAGAGCAGGAGATTAGAATCTTATTAGTAAAAATTTGTTTGATGCTTGTCTTATATGTGTAATTTCAAAGTAATTGTCAATGATTCTTGTTAATCTCTCATGAGCTCGATCTGTCAGAATTCCCCAAGATGTAAAAAAAGACTAATAATCCATTTCTGCAAGGTACATTGAAGTGCAGGCATAAGAAACATTATATTAAGAAGAAATTCTTATAAAATATTAATAGTGGTATATAATATATCTCAAAATATTGGAGTATGTAATGTACCAGGTGGATTTTTTTTTTTTTTTTTTAAATGCTCAGGTCTGTCAGTGACCTGGTGTGTATGTAAATATAATCCCATTGAAGTTAAGATTTTCTCAGAAAGTCAAGAGGAACTAACTTCATCAAGAAAGACACAAAAGTTAATTATCAATAGGGCAAATTAATCCATTTTTTCCTACTTGTGTGAACTGGAGTAATTGAACCTGCAGGTCTGATGTACCTGTTGAACCTGCCTTTTACCATATGCATGCATTGGGATACGCACCAGAAGACCATGAGTGCAATTCTTTGTTCATTCCTTGCCCTTAGTAAAATGCTAGTTAAATGTTAAACTAGACATTGGATTTTATTTTCAACATTTTTTCCATCTGTTTCAAAAATTCTTGACAAGTGTTATGCCTTTTCAGTACTTAGTATATTATTCTTAGTGTGATACTTTTAACAACATAACCCTGAAGAGCTTTTTTTACTGCATGAAAGTTAAAATGCACTTGTGTATTCTTATATATGACTGGGAAAAGGACACGGAACAGTAGAATATGTAAAAGTAGTGGACAGTAAGTACAAAAACTAGCTTTAAACTTTTTTTTTAAGTGCAAATATATCGTAATGTTTTAGATATTTCTGGTTGACTTTTCAAGGCAAGCTGATGGGCTGGGGTATCCAGATTTCATTAATTTCTCATGCAGCATTAATGTGCAAATACCTTGCTGACAAAAATGTGTCAACCTTAATACTTTAGGAGAGACAATTAGTTTTTAAGTAAATTGTCCTTTTTATCTAGAAAATAATTTGATCGAGAGTTAGTATGGCATATTAAGTGTTGGGTATTGTTTTGTTAAATTAGAGCAGCACGAGCTAAGTTATGTAAATATGGTTCTCTACAGGGAGAACAAAGCGAATTGGGCTGTCATAATTCATTAGATCTCAATGTCCAGCTGTGGCTGGCAGTGAGTTTTTGTAACTTGGGTCTTTAAAGGGATATTTGATAAGGCTTTTTGAAGCCATAGGAAACCCTAAAAGCCAAGATTGGCTTTAGAACAAGTGATCAAATGGAAATATGGTTTTCAAATAGAGTATAGAATATCTTCTATGACTTCACTTCCTCCATAGCCTTGAATTCCTTACAACAAACACTATGTATTAGTCTGATTCTCACACTTTTAGCAGAGGGCAATTAACTGCATACCACTGAAGCTTATTTTCAGTTATTTGGGTTAATTAAACGTTTTTCTTCCCTTTCTCCATTGGAGATGCATTACACCACTCAAAATGGGATGATTTTGCAAGAAAGTTCCCAACTCTTTGCAGTGGAAAGAAGTAGTTTTGGGTTAAGCTGAGTAAATAAACATTTTTAAAATGTCATAAAAATATCATACAACCACATTCACTCACAATTGCTATATGTAAAGATTGCAAAGTATGTGCTTAGCTGGAACATATTAGGAAACAAGTGACTCATCTTCAAGAAAATAAATGAACTTTTACTTTCTCTGTAGCTTAAAATGCTACTTATCCTTGAAATATTTGTAAAAGCTCTATTTTTTTTGTTGTGTGACCATTTTTATACTTGAATGTACAATGATGTCTGAAATCTTCTAATTGTTGTGGTTATTCATTTGTCTTGTTAAACAAAATGTATGTATTTTTAATATTTCAATCCTCTTCTTCCCCATAGGATTCAAAATGGGTAGAAGAAAAGCAGCTGTTAATCAGAACAAATCAGGAGTTGCTAGAGAAGGTACGTGTTCAGAATCTGGGAATATTTTCACAATTGCTGCCCTTTATTATCGAAGGGATGGCAAAAGGAAATGAATGTACTAACTACTGGAACATCAACATGAAAATTGATTGCTTTGTTTCTCTTCAGAAACAGAAATTAGGATAAAAATCTCTGATTAAAGTACCAGTATGCTTTTGTACTCTTTGGGAGTGGAAGCTGCTCTTTATTGTGTAATAACATGTTGTATAACCAACAGTAGAGCCCAAGCTGGCTGATGTTTCTAGTGTCCAACAAAACACAATCTAAAGTATTAAGCATAATGTGGAATTTTGTATTTTGTCAAACAGTTACACGAAGATGATTATTGTCCTGATAGCTAATAAAATTGCCTGCTCCCTTCAGCCTTCCATTTTTTTACAGTTTTTCCGCACACTAAGTAATACTGATTGATTTAAGACTATTGTATCATTTACTGTCTAGGATACTCAGAGCTGAGCATCCTCATTGTTCATTACTGATATTGGTGGGAAAGTTAGCTAGTACTCAGGATGTCAAAGAATTATTTTTGTTAGTTAGTAGCTCAATATTAATATAATAGCAATAAGATAACCAAAGAAAAATTCATTACTAAAAGTAGCTACAGCTGAACTTAATTTATTCAGACATGAATAAATTCAGACATCATGGCTGTGATAAGCGCTATAGTACATTATGCCAGACGTTACACTTCTGTTTAGTTTCATACAAATAAAAAGATTGTCCAGTTGAGCTAGACAGTAGACCAAAGCTATCAGTGGGCATAATGAATAGTTAATTTTTTAATTTCTCTTTTGTTGCTGCTAGCGCCCCAAAGCGCAAATCTGGGAAATTAAAAAATAGCCATTAAATCCTCTCTATTATTGTCTTTCATTTACTGTAAAGAGTACATGTCTAGTTATGCAAAGACACCGAGAACAGTCTACCCAAATGTTAATGTAATCCAGTTTCATTCTCTTTGTTTTTAAAAGACAGCTTGTGTTGCTTAACTTATTTAGATATAATATTCATATCACTGTTCAGACTACTTCCAGATGACTATTCTAAAAGAGATCATTGACCATTTTCTGCTGGCAGTTCTCACAAATACTTTCTGATGTGATGTTCCTTCTTTATCTCCAAGACAAGGCCCAGCATCTAATGAGAAACTGAAATAATTAACAGTTTTGTCTAAGCCCCTGGCCTGTAATTCTGTACAGTATCTTTTCCATTGCTTACAGGGTGTTATGATGTTGTGTTTGTCTCATAGATTTACAGAATGGAACAAGAAGAGCATCAGCTGAAGAACGAGATGCAAGATGCAAAAGACCAGAATGAGCTGTTAGAATTCAGAGTGCTAGAGCTTGAAGTAAGAGATTCTCTCTGTTGCAAACTCTCAAATGGAGCAGAAATAATGTTTGAACCCAAGCTGAAATTCCTGTAAAGATTACTGATGTCTGGTGCATGTTTAAGGGAAATCGCTTAGGTATCTATTTTTTAAATGTTGTATCTTGGGATAATGAACTTGATGCCACTGCCTTAATGTGTTTTTGGAGAGAGTGCTCACTAATGTTTATAAAGATGTAATATAGTTAATATATATTGCATATAGTTTGTTTTTCATCTAATAAAATATTTTGTTTTGCAATATTTTGCCTTTTTTATTTGTTTCATTTCCATAACTGCTCCTTTCCTGCATGTAAAATCACTTGGTATGTATACTACAGCCTTGGTTGGCATTGTTTTAATTAACACACCTTCTTACATCTTGCATGCAGTGATCTGACACATCCATCACATCAATGTATAATTGCTTTTAATTACATTGATTTAACATTGACAACATTCATATGAAGTAAAATGATCTTAAAAGAACACGTTTTGATAGCAGCTTTGAAAGAATTTCTCTTACCTGAAATCCATTTTCTGATGCTATAAAATGATCATGGACTGGAAAATAATTGGCATCAATCAATGGAAAAAGGAAAAAAAAGCCTTCTGAGAAAGTCAGACTGGTGAAGCGCAAATAAAAAACTTCTGTATGTGCAAATAGTATGTTGCCGATAGCAAACAAATTCTATACTTTGCACAAATGAAATAACAGTGGAGTTACTTGTGAATAGCAATTTGAACGTGTAGCCTGTGATTACAGTGGAAAGCAATGGTTCCCATCACCTTGTAAATGGGGCCCATGTTGGGTTTAGTAACACTAAACTACTCGTGTGTGATGCAGAGTTGTCACACAGTTGTATTGCCTGATAACACATTGTTCGGTTTCAAAGATCATCAGCAATCTTAACAGCATTTAGAATAAACTCTCCAAGAAACCTCTCATTGTCACTCCACCATAATTTTCATCACCCAGTACATTTCACCAAAAATCTTGGCATGCGTAACTTCTCCGATAAGGATGAAAATGTCATGTCTTCCTGTTATGTGGACTTTCTGCTTTTTGTCTTTGACATTTCTTAATCTTTTTTTAATCCTTTACTTTATCAACCGAATGTTTTGATGTCATAGCCCATTATATTAAAAATTATGAATTTAGGTTATTAGTATTTCAGTAGATGTTCAGGAAAATAAAAATGTTTTCTAATATGTATCTTTATCTTTTATTAAGCAACCGTAAAGTAAAATACTGAACAATTCAGCATTTTAATTGGCAGTTACACTAGAAACTGCTTCCTAAGGCATTAAGTGTTCTTAGAAGTATAACAATCCTAAAAATTTTCTTAGGAAGAGGAAAAAAAAAAATGTTTCAATCCATCATTCATGAATGTCTTTTCACGTGGAAAAATCACATGAAAAATAGCCTATTGTGATGTGTCGGGTTTTGTCATGTGCCAAATCTTTAAGGACTTGTCTCCAAGAATAACAATGGAAGTGTTTTTGCATGATTGCAAGAGAAGGGGTTTTTTCCTTAGTAGGCAGGCATGTAGACACAAATGTGACTGACAGTGTGAATGCTTTAGTAGAATCATTAATGCTTCTGGTAATCATGACAGTATTTTTTTGAGAGCAATTCAATTATTTCAGAAAAAAATGAGGCTACAGTAGAAAACGCAACCATTTGTCTATGATTTAATGGACACAAATTCAGGTGAGTTTAATGCAATAAAATAATTTTTAAAAAAATCTAAAATGGTAACTGAATTTGGTCAAGAATTAAGCTTCTGGATTTGGTTTACAACAGCTAGGTCGTTTAAGCCCAGTTCAATATTAGACTGTTAATACAAAAATTATTTAAAATAGAACCTATGAGGGGGAAAAATAAATAGAGGTACACAGTTTGTCTCTCTACATTGTAGTTTCAAATTAGGTTTAAACTGGTTAATGGACAAGATCACCATGCTTTGTAACTTGCTGAAGTGAAATGATGCCGCCTGCTTGCCACATCAATTAAAGAACCTAATTTTGTGATTTAGGAAATTGGGCAATGCATGGATGGTCATAGGAACTAAAATATTTGCAGTAGCTCTCTCTCATTCTGTCAGAAACTGAAACTCTTCTTACAAGTGCTTCCTCTTGTAATATGGGGAGGAAATCTGATTTTCTTCACTCATATTCTGATGGCCATGGAGAATTCAGAGTAAGACCCAGTGCCTCGGATGCCCTTCAATCCAGTCATTTTCACAAGCAAGTTAAAATCTAATTTAAGTATGTCTGCCTTCTGAAGAAATAACAGAATGGTATTTTGAAGAAACGCATTAAATCAAGTAGATGGGCTCTATTCATTTTACAAATACTATAATTTTAGACAAATGGGAATTTATACTTTTTAGTTTTGGCACAAAGAACATCGTAAATGTAGAGTAGGTTCTGCCTTTCAACATATTCTGTCATCCTGGGTTGTGCAGTGAATAGGACTGGGGATTTTCACATGCTCTAATAGAAAGGTTAACTGTAGAATAAACAGGGAGCAGATACACAGCTTAAATTTTATTGAGAAAATCTTCAGTGATAATACTATTTCATGACAGAGTTTAATTTTTTTTCTGCAGTTTCTTCTTCCTAAATTGTTCTTTGTTCCTTGAAAGGAAGCAATAGTTAAATAAGGTTGTAACCAACATAAAAACTGCATAGTTTTTTAGGGCTCCAGTCAGTTATTTGGCCAGCGTGCAAGGGTTCCTGCATCTGAGGAAGGTCAGTTAACTTGGCAGAAACTGCGTGTGCATGGAATCGGCTGGAAGCTAATGCCATTTTTGTGCTTGGCTAAACCCAAAATCCTTCAAATATGATGGAAGTAGGAAGAAATACTGTGTATTTGGAATGTGAACAGGAATCTGCCTTTTTAATGTACAAATATGTTTTGTAAAGGTGGGAAATAAATATTTACATATAATCACAAGTGTTGTTTTTAAACAAAATCTTTCCTCAGGAGAGAGAACGAAGGTCGCCGGCATTTAATCTTCATATAACCACCTTCCCTGAAAACAATGGAAGTGCACTTCAACTGTTCTGTCAGCAGGAAGGAATAAAGGGATATGTAAAGCGTGGGTAACAGTTGGATGGCCAGGAACTTTTTTTGAATGACCAACCTAATATCCAGACAAACGGTTTGCCGTCTTGCTGTACGGAAGAAAATCTGAAAAAATCAATACAATAAGAAAGGATATTTTTAACTAGGGAAAGGGTTTCATAAGAGTATGATCTCATAGTCTGTCAGGAGTTATCACTGAAAATGAAGGTTGGTCAATCAAAATAATTTACATTTCGTCTAGGGTACTGCTCTAGAAACATTGCAGAGAAGACTGGATGTTGGTGTGATTCATTGTTAGGCTTGCTACTGTACTTTGTTCTTGATATTTAAGGTTTTCATCCAAGGTGAGAAATACGATATTCCCCTGTTATTTTACGCTCGGTTTACTGAAGTACCTATACATTTTGTTCTTTGAATTAGTATGCATAAGTTATTTGCCTCGGCCAGCGCCTTGAGTCATGAGGTGCCTGATCTCATTCAAATAGGTGGGACTCCCTCTGTCATTTTAGATGAAGCACAGGATAACCATTGGGATCTCACTTGGTTACCTTCTGCTATGAGGAAGCAAGAATGACTCTTTTCACTTCTGTTCTCCCTTGAATAGGCTGGCTGTACAAATTGGTTGGCATGCTGGTTCACTGAAGGCTGAATTCAGACTTGCTTTGTTAGTAATGTTGCACAACAGGCCAGGGTAACTTTTCTAGGAGTAACTGAAGAAGAATATCTCTCTGCGTTTTACTCCATGGCACTCACTAGTAATTTATGCTTCTAATTGTGTTTACAAGTCCTCTTACAGAAAGCTGGTTTCTGTTCAGTGCCTTAATAAGCACAATACTGTCTGTAGTGGAAATAAACTGAAATTGCCGGCTGCATATTGTTAGGGAGCTGAATAGTCTAAAAGAAAAAAAAGTTAAAACCCGATTCTTACCTGCAGGGTTAGCTGGGTAGTCATTTCCCAAACCACACCAAGAGTCATCAGTTAGCATATTACCTTTCACATAGAGCCTCCATGGGATGCCAGACCTGCCTTTTAGCTTATCTGTTATTCTAATTTGCATGGTGGCTGTAGCCGGTGCAGCTTACCAGGATCTAGAATTCATATTTTTTCCGTTGTCTTCTGTTGCCTTCCTAAACAGAGGGTTTTTTATTTAATCTGCCTTTCAGTTCGGTTACGTGGAAGCAGGGGCAGGCACCTGGCGTACTGAAATTGTTGACTTTTTGTATGTTTTCAGTTTTATATGGCTTTCAAAATTGTTAGCCATCAGTAGCAAATTAGATTCTAGAATGATGCAAAATCTTCCTATATGCTTCATCATGGAAGTAAGTGAGTTAGAATGAGTATTTGTGGCTCAGTATGTGCAAGAACTTGCATGCCTTACTGAATTCCACATCACTAGTGTAACTGATCAGCTCAAGGTGTTTCCATTCAACATTGTCAATGCTGATCATAATCGATAGTTTTGTTTCTAACACCGATCCAAACACAAGTGTGTATTAAGCTTTGCACCATTCTCAAATTATCGATGTGCCCTGTTTAATAGCTAATGTAACATTTGGAGACACAGCTGAAGTTTATAGGGAGAGAGGGAAGAGAGGGAGGAAGAGTCTGTCTTCTCAGGAGAGACTAAATTGAACACAACACATTATTCCTTTTCTGGAGCCAGGATGGATTAATTTGTAGATCCTCTCCGCATCTGTGTCTGGTCTTCAGGAAATCTGTCATTTCTTATTAAGCCTTCCTCACTGGAGTCTGTTAGGTGCAGAATCATGAGCAAATGTAATCTGATGTAGTTACATAATTTGCAAGCGTGGCTAATTTAGCTTTAAAAATTTTTAAAGATTGATCATCCTGACTACTACTATAATGCAGTTGCACAACACATAGATGCAAACAGCACGTTTCGTGCCATAAGGAATTAAACTAGCGAGCCAAGACACAGCCCTGTGAAATGTTGGCCTCTTGT